CACTCTGGCCCTGATATGGAACAGGTTTAGCCATAAATATAGCATAGCTTAAATTTATATTTTTTATCATATATATATATATATATATATATATATATATATATATATATATATATATATATATATATAGCACTGACTCCCAAATGGGTCTTCCTAATCACTACAATCTCAACCTGTTGAGATTGTAGTGATTAGGAATCTTGACCATTGTCTTTTTATATATTTACAAAAACTGTGTCTCTTACTCTGTAACCTGCTACTTCAAGTGACTCTTGGGCCTTGTACAGAGTGAAAATCATTGTAAATTTATATATATATATATATATATATATATATATATACATTTTGCAATTAATAAAAAGAAACCCAGATGACATGAATTTAACGGATGTCCGAATTCCTTGAAATATAAACCCCTACCCTCCATAAACTTAATCACTTTTTCGAACGTAACTCATAACTGATACAATAGTTATTCAAAATGAACATGCTACAGCCCCTGTCTGAATGATTGGATTCCTCTGTATCCTTGAAAACAAGAAATTATGAATTTATATGTGTTTAGAACTCAGTAAATTTAAAAATAAGTTATTCCAATATTTGCTTGAAGATGAAACGGAACTAATGCTTTTAATTTAATTATATAATTGAATTTAAAGTTTTTAGCTTCCATTTTTGAAACATGGTTATTACTGTGTAGCGAAAACCATATTTTAAATCAGTTAATTCATAATATTTATGCTCTGTAAATTTAAATTTACATTGAGCACAGTTTTGTAAAAATAAAAAATAACAAGAACACCGAATTATATATCTTACTATTCTTTCTTTATGTGTATATATATATATATATATATATATATATATAACATATGTTTAATGGGATATTAGGTTGACAAAAGAATATTCAGTTTAACACTAAGAAAGTATTTTCTTAATTGTTTACACCACAATGTTTTGACAAACTGCATTATTCCTTTCAATCAGTAATTGATTTTACTCCAAATGATACAGCCTTATCTTTTTTTAATGTAAATATGACAATTTCCTTTTGCTCTAGTATTAACAATGATGATAACTCTCAAGGACAGCTGTTTGATAAAGCTTGTTCCTCCCACAGCTTTTGTTCTGCCATGGAAATCTTCATGCAGTACTGATTAGAACAAGGAATTAGACTAACTTGAAAGAACAGAGACAAGAATTGTGCTTCTTTACAGAGACTGTTATCTTCACTTTATTGCAGAGTGTACTTCTTTTTTACTAAAATACATATCTGTACAATTTATCCAGACATAAATATTTTGATTTTGAACAGATACAATGCTAATATATATTTACACAAAGTTTTGGTAAAAGCAACATGAAGCCTGCCAACTGATCAAAGAAAAACTAATAAAAAGAAAACTGAACAATCAATAAAGCACAAACCAAGAGAAAACAGAGAGGAGAAGAAACATTAACTAAGAAGAAATGAGCAAGAGACTTACAACAACCTAAACAGGAATATAAAGTGCTCTATGTTTAAGTTACCAAGACAGAACAATTACACTTCCCACAACTCAGAAAGAGACAAACTTCAAACTGTTAAAGTTTCACACTACCATGATCATCAAATGACTAGAATGTTTTGGTTGCATGATAATCAGAGTAGCATGAAAATTAAGTAGTAGTTTGAACTTATATATAGGGTAAAATATATATGATAAAAATATAATTTTAAAGCACATATATATATATATATATATATAGGATAAAATATATATGATAAAAATATAGTTTTAGTATATATATATATATATATATATATATATATATATATATATATATATATCCAGAGCTAATATTTAAAGAAAAAACAGACCACTTTAAAGTACCATTATAATAATTTATTTCACAGAGCCCTTTTAAAGGATGCTGGATCATCAGATTTCATTTTTGGAAGTGCTATCTGATGATCCGGAATTCTTTAAAAGGGGTCTGGTAAAATAAATTATTATAATGGTACCTTAGTGTGGTCTGTTTTTCTTTTAAATATATATATATATATATATATATATATATGTACACACACACAAAATCAGAAGTTTTAAAGTAGATATGCCACATGATGATCAGATATATATAAAGTGTTCATGAATATTGACTATTACTTGTTTTTTTTTCTTGTCCACATTTACTACAGATTGCTATTGTACTAATGAATATACAAAGCAAATTCCAGTGTTAAGTAATAATCTTATTTCATCTATATGCTTTTATTTTACTAAATTGTTTTTACTGACTCATTTTCTATGGCTTATCAACTCTTTGCAAATTAATTGTAATTTTTTTTTGGGGGGGGAGATAAACATAAGTCTTGCTAATTAACCCATAGCTGGGGTGAAAAGAAGTGGATTCATACCAAGGATATTTACACATAAATGAATATAACAAACCCAACTGGAATTGGAACTCAGCTCCTCAATTAACAATTCCTTGCCATTATCTGTACATCCAAATTTACAGCACCTATTATTTCCAAGCAGTCACCAATCTATGTACTGACCATGCTCAGTGTTGCTTAACTTTGGTGCTCTTACAGGAACTGGTGTTTCCATGTGATATGGCCATAAGCTTTCTTACTAAAGATTCATTTATGTCTATCCCAGTGTAAGTTTTAGACAAGTTATATCCACATTAGTCATGAAATGGCAGTGTATATCCACACTTGAGCAACCAGTCTTTTACTTTTGAAATATATAATACCTAAAGCAGGACAGTATTTTTTTGATTTATTATTATAAGATTTCTTTATCTCTCTACCCAGTCTTTCCTCATATAAAACATCATCTGTTTCCAGTACTGAAAATAAAGATCTTCCAATCAGTCATGTTTTATAATGTTTCTGATTTATTTTTTACTCTGTTTACCCACAAGCAAGAAATGAATACAGTTCAATTTATTTCCAATCAACAAAACAAAAATGTCAATTAGGCTTTCTGGAAGGGTGAAGAGAAAACTGAAATTAGTTTTCATTTTTGTCTACTATTGTTCATTTAGCTAAAATGGATTATTAACAAATTTTCTTGGGCTTAAATTTGATTCGGAGTGTGAAATTGAAACTTGAAGATTCAAAAAAAACAATTTAAGATTCTCCCAGAGTTCTTGATAAGAACCTTTAAAAAAAATCTCAGATAATTGGTTGTGAATGATTTTAAAACTAAAAACAAAAAAATAAAGACAGAAATGGGGAAATTGTATTCCTGAAGATAAAATATTGGTAAAGATATGATTTTCTGGAGAATAAACATAGTTTAAAATTTTAAACAAATAAAAGAAAAATTGAGTTTTATTTCTAGATTACAAAGATGGTGGACATAATAGCCCTGAGTTCTTCAAAACTTTGTCATTGCGACATTGTTATTTATGTCAGAATTTTTAAGATAAGGAATTATAATTATTATATGCCTTGCTATTTAGAGCAGTATGCTCATTGTGGTTGCTATACTTACAATATTTTAGCGTCTGTACCATTTACCCTTCTTCAGGTATCTGTCGTAATATTAAGTAACCTCAAAATTTTGAACAGACCCTTACTTGATAACCTTCTCAGAGTTTTGAGGTTAAGGTATTAAAACCAAAGTAATTCTTCTTAGTGTTCATTGTTACCAATCCTAATTAGTACAGTTGATGACATACAAACACTGCTTTTTTTTCTTTTACCAAATGATATCTAAAAAATATTCTCTTTTTTCTTGGATGAAATATTAAGCATTCTGGTAGGCTTATGTTTACACTGTACTTTTACTGAATTCCATAATGAAAGCTGAATCTTTTTTGGTTTGAAGAATTATCATTCTTGTATGCTTTTCCATTCAGACATGTATATACTCACCTTGGTTGTTATACTATTAATTAATATTTCAACAATTCTGCCCTTCAGCCAGATGTCTTCAGATGTCTGTTTTAATTGGTAACCTTATTGGAATACTGGACCAAACCCATTATTCAGTCAATGGAGGTAGACTGTGTTCAGTAAACTTTACCTGATTAGGGGAGATAACTCTTATCAGTTAAGACTCTCCAGTCTATTTGCCTTCATACTGCATGACCATTTCTTGAATTAGAGTATATGATTTTTTTCCACACTACTTGACACAGAGATTGAACTCACAACTACTGGAGAATCAGATATCTTTTAAACGACACTTTAATCCACTAAGTCATGTGTCTCATATACTCAGATTCAGTGGAAGAATGAGAACAATCTATTCATATATATTGAATAAAGGGTTCAGTTAAAAATTTGAAACAGGTTTCCTATTATGGACAGAAAGCTGAAGACGGTCAGAGTGTACATTGGCTGAAACATCATACGTATAACAACCTAGATGAGTGTACTTGCCAGAATAGAAAAACATATAAGTATTGGTATTACTAATTTTTTAGTTATTTTTTCTTTTGCTGCCTTTTATAACAATATCCAGTTTGTTTTTAATCTCAACAGGTAAGTAAATATAATAGATTAAATAAAATAAAGAATTCGGTTTTAACAAGGTGTGAACCCATCCCATATTGCTCTAACTGTAGCAGACATAGTAAACCAGAACCAGAGTCAAATGGCAAAAATGGTGAACAGGACTTGCCTTATTCTTGACAAAAGAGAGTTCATCTGTATCTGGCATGTAGGACTTTGATCTGAGAGAAGGCTAGTACGTTGTTCTGTCAAAAGAGACCCTTCTTCTTTGTTGTCTCACAAGAAACTGGTTCATTAGCAACTGTGTATAGTATTAGTGTGGTTGGATGGAATCAAGGATAGTCATTTGGGTGTGTTAGTGCTATATTCTGAGATGATCATATGTCTATCATCCTGGCAAGTGATTGGTGATTCCCCATTATAAGTAGACTATCACAAAGCTGAGAGATGTCACTGTTGAGGTACACTGTACTGAACCTACAGTTGCGTCAGGAGAAACAAACAACGAAAAATACCAAGAAACCAGTGTAGATGGAAGAAACGCCCAATCTGAAATTGTGTCCCAAACCAGAATTGCTAATTTCTTTTGGCCATACTGACAGTCTAACACATGGGTTCTTAATCAGGGGTATCCATACCAAATGCTTGGGGTATGGGACTCGATTTCTGGGTACTGGTAATCTCCACCCCCCGAATTGAATTATAACTTCATTTTGCTTTCAGTAAAAAAAAAATATAATAAAGTTATCAATTCTTATATTTTTTTTTCATGTTCTATTCCTAGCAATCCATATCTAAAGTACAGTAAATTCAAGTGATTGAAATATTTAGAAGACATACTGGCAAATAATAGGATTGGTGATAATTATTTCGACAGTCAAGTGAAGGGGGTATGGGACTATATTGGATAATCAACTGGGGGTCTGGAATCATCAAAAGGTTCAGAGCCCCTGGTCTAACATGAACAGCATCATACTGCTTATGCTCCAGAAGCTAAACAACTATGATAAAGACAGTGTATCATTTTTATTCTAATATGCATGATGCAATTTAGGTTTTATGTTTAATAGCCAGCATAATTTTCAGTCAGAGAATTTTATATAGAGAAGTCAAATTATAATAGGAATGCATTTTTCTTCTAATTATTTCACCCCAAGTTAGGTGATAAAGCTTATAAGATAAAAGGCGTTACTGTTCTTTTATTCTCCTTTCTACTTAATAATGTTTTCTTAGAAAGGGCAATAAAAGAACAGATTCAAAGAGACAGATGATGATTGATGTTGCATTTAAATCTTTGAAGATTGATCTTGACAGGAAAGCAAGATGCCAGAAGAGTTCCACAAACAATTAGTATAGAACTTACAGTTTCATCTAGCAACACTGAAATGATGAAACCTAGCTGTTAATCATTCATTGTAAGAGGTTTGAACAAAATTTTGGCTAAAAGAATGCAGTTTTAGAAGAGAAAATAATCTATTATGGCAAAAATATATTGAAAGTGCACTAATTTCAGAATCCTCTACAATAAATCTATATTCAGGATCATACAAGATATCTGCTTTGCTTTTCTCATAAAACTATTGCTGATATAATTTGGGATAATTAAAAAAAATAGTGATAAAAATAAAAACAAAAGTAATAAAAGGTTGAATAAGAAGATAAATGGTTATCAAAATTTAAAGTAAATTTTATATACCATCAAGATGTCTTTTATGAAGTTAAATGTTGGGCCTTTTATGCCAAAAGAGAGGGATTTTATATGTCAAAATAAAAGGGGTCTTATATGCTATCAAATATGGTAAAAATTGCTTCTATTACAAAACATTTTTTAGATTTGAAGCTTTGGTTTTTAAAATTATAAATAATTTATCAGTACATGTAAACATAAACTTGACATTTTCACAATATTTTTATATAGTTAAATAAATTTATATAAATCTATTTGAATTCAGTAAGAAGTTTTGTAATCCCAGATTCTGTAAACAGAAAAAATAATTTCTTGCTTAAGCCGCTTTAAAATTGTTTATCAAAAAGAAAACTTTCTCAGATCTGTTCTGTAGTAATGGTAGGCCATGTTATTCTCTTTAAACTTAAAATTTCTACCATAACATGATTGCTAACATTCAAATTTCACAAGCAAACAGTAATGAGTTCATACTTCAATGTTTTCTCCAATAATGTGGTCTTCTAATTAATTTGGTTTCATTAAGAAAATATCTAGTTTTTATGTGGGATCTTAAATATATCCCACAATACAAACTTCAAACAGTACAGAAAAGTGATTCTGTATGACTTACCAAGTAATACAGGGTGCGATGGATAAATTGTCGCCATTATATATTTTTAATTTCATGCATGCGTGTTGTTTGTTTTTGATTTTGTCAATTGCACAGTATAGTAGGGTCAGTTGGGCACCATCTGGGAGATTTGAAATGCAAGCAGTACAGCATGCTGTACTGCTTGCTGCAAGACATGATATCTGAAAACAGAACTCTGCACCATGTTACATAATCAGGAGAACACAGTTATGGCTGTCAGACAATTTCTGCAACCACATCCTTTACATCTGGCCACCTAACTGCAACCCACTTGATTATTATGTGTGGGGTACAGTTGAGCAAGAGACCAACAAAGTTCCTTGTAATACCAAAAATGAACTGAAGGCAAGGATTATGGCAGCATTCACCAATTTAAACAAGGAGACCATCCAAAAATGATGCAGGAGACTGAAGTTACCTGGAGGTTGTGGTTGAAGCCAATGGTGATTTTATTTAATAAATTTACTCTTTAGTATTTCAAGATACTAAATAGTGATTTTGGTAAATATATTTATTAAAATGAGATGTCAGTGTTATTTTCATTTTTGCATAATTCAGAAAACAATTTATCCACTGCACTCTGTATATAACAATCAAGACAGACAGTAACAAAAGATAACCAGTAAAGTACATTTTACAAGGAAACAATTCCCTTGGAAATATATCAGCAACAGACAAAGGAGCTGAAAAAATAATAGCAGCAAAAAAATTAGGCTTAGAAAATAATTTGTTTTAATGATTTCTTTGCCAAGCAAGGTGATAATGCCACTAAGACACAAAGGGGGAGGGCACTGGAAATTAAAGAGAATAAGAAGATTTTAGTGAGGAGAAAGGGAAA